AATATGCCTCGTAATAATATCTCTCAAATTGTGTGTTTTGCGATGAAAAGAAAACCATATTTATACGTAATTTATAAAAATCCTAGTTAAAACGGAATATAAGTCTAAAGATATTGAAAGATGCCATAAAAAAAGAGTTTTAACTAAAATAGAAAATTACACAAAATTTTAAAAATTAGCGTCCCGATTTTACTCTATACGGTCGCATAGGCTTATATGGTGCGGTCATATAGGCCATTCGTCTACCTTCAGTTTGGTTCCTGTATGGGTACATGTGGCCGCACTTAGGTTTGTGCTATGCGGTCGCATAGCATTCCTCCATGTCTCCAAGTTTGAGTTATTGATTCAAATGCGTTCCTAACTTGTTTCCAATCCCATGCCCCATGTGAAACTTGGTCTTAGGCATGTTAACTTCATCATTTTGGACTCTGTAGCTTGAATACTTGATTGCATGACTTCATTGATTTTATTTGATTTCGAACTTGTCCTTAGCTTCTCCTCAACATACATTGAACTTTTAATAGCTGGTTGCCTTGGATCTCATCAGTTGCCCTCCCGATTAACAAAAAAGAGACACAAGACGAAATCTAGCCTCCAGGTTTAATTCAACTCTTCTTCCTTTTTTATTTTTATTTTTTTAATGTGTCCACAGGATTCTCGTGGAGAAATAATTATAGTGGGCTAATTTCATAGAAGTTCCTTTTTTGCATCTCGCTTTCCCCTATCTAACGTTTTATGATTGCAACAAATTGGCAATGCTACGATAGCGAAGCAGCTTGGGACGAACTTTTCTATGAGTCAGACAATTCTAGTTAACGGTAGTTGTTGTTATGCCTCGATACCGAAGTGCCATCTCATCACCTACTGCGACCTGAAAACGACCCTCCCGAAGCTTCTCCGAAGTGATATATCGATTCCTACTACTGATCTGTCGAAGCATCTCACCTCCGAGGTCGAGATCAAGTGGACCCCGGTTAGAAGATCCGCCACCAATTTAAGATTTGTCCTGAACCTAAGGTTTAAATTGATTTGACGTCCCCATGAGGCTATTTGATGTGAATTATCAACTTTATGTCAATTCAACTCGGGGGAAACAAACTGTCCGTCCACTCTACAAGCGCGGCTGATTGACGCCTATAAGCAGACACTTCATACCGTCAGATGTATACACGCGTTCTACATCCCGCGGTTCATACCACCTATAAATATCCAAGGTTTGGCAAGAGGCAAAAGGTAATGAAACTCTCAATACATAGCATTCCATAACAAGTTTATATATCCTCCTCCCCCCTTTATTGATTGATTTGTGTAGCCCCTGGGCACTGTTCCGACCACCCAAACCTGACTTGACTGTCGAAATGTATACGGCCGCCACCACTCCCCTCGGTTCCGACCGTGTGCGCCTGACCGTTTGTTCATTTCGCAGGGAGGAATACGTGGAGTAGCTATAAGTTGGCCACGTGGAGGAGCCATTTTTGGAGGTCAACAGTTTGGCGCCGTCTGTGGGAAGCTCACTCCCCATTTGAAGTTTTGCGTTCCCCATCGGAGAAGACACCGGAAAATCGGCGACTGAACCTGAAAAGGGGGCTTCTTGAAAAAGAAAGTCGAATTACAATCCAAGTTCTTACTAGGTAGGATGAGCTACAGCCGTGAAGACAATCCCATGAGAGAGGCCTCTGAAGAAGAGGTACTCCATAACAATGTTACTCATCAGAGACCGCATCACCGGCGTCGACGAGGTGAAAGAATAGCCATACTCACTGAAGGAATGGCCCAGATAGCTGCGGGTATGAGAGACATAGCAGCTCAGAATATGGCGATGCAGGAACTTCTCATGCAAGCCCAGGGACACCAGTGGCCCCAAGGATCTTATCCGGTACAGGAAATCCCTTTGTCTCACTCTCAAGGCCACATGAGCCGGCACACAGAACGTCCTCTCGAAAGAGAGGGGAACACCGAAGCGACATCTTATGTGTAAGAGAGTCATCCATCAGAACCACTCTTAGGGGACTACTTTCATCAAGAATACGATGACTAGGTCAGTGAGCGTCTTCGATCGGATAGGGAACGATCCTAGCAATAGGGTCCGCCCGGCAAGAGGGTCGATCCGGTCAGACCGCGAAGAAGAGCATGATCCCCCTCCTCCTAGAAATAGGAGGGAGAGGAGAAACTTAGTCGATTGGGGGAGCAGGGGAGAAGCACCTCCTCCTCCCCGAGACATCCAAGATGATGAAGGATCAGAGGGGCCCTGTCGATCTTATGAGATTGACGACGATGACGATAACCTCCCTTTCTCAAGGGAAATTCGAAGCTTCCCAATGCCAACTCACTTCATGCCCCCTAAGATCCCCAAGTATGAGGGAAAAGGGGATCCGGAGAAACACCTCACAAAGTATATGACACAAATGAGTCTTAGGGGAGCCTCACCTGCTCTAAAGTGCAGAGCCTTCCATTTAACACTAGGCGGAGCCGCCGAGGTGTGGTACAGCAGGCTTCCTCTCCTAAGCATCAGAAGTTGGCCAGAATTGAAGAAAGCATTCTTGAACCAGTACCCCTCACGCAGGGAAGGAGAGGCGCCAATTCAACGCCTGCAAGACATGAGGCAGGCCCCTGGAGAGACGCTGAAAAGCTATCTCGCCAGGTTTACAGACGAAATTACTTACTGCGAGCAGGTCACTGACAGGGAAGCCCATTCAGCCCTTTCAGTCCCTGCGCAGCAAAAATCCCTCCACATACGACGAGCTGGTGGAGATGATGAGAGTGGAAATTGTTAGTGAAGAAATGATTGATCATCGCAATTGTGCCGCGCAGGGACTCCCTCCCCCACAGAGGCAGGTGGGTCGAGGCCCCGCAGCGCACCTTGTTACTCAGCAATGGACCCAAGCAGGGCATACAATAGCTCCTACATCCGTACAGGCCCTAGCTTCTGCCACATTGAACGCAGTGCCGGTATTGGCATATGATAACGCACCCGCTGAGGCAGGACCATCTGGAAGAACTGACAACAACAAGAAGAAGAAAAAGAGGCCAAACAGGCCCTTGGCAGGAGCAAGATTTTGTACTTTCTATCAACTATACGGGCATGACATCAGCGAGTGTCGGGATGCCAATCGACGCCCTGATCGAAGCAACCCCCATACTTCCAGCAGAATTGAGCACCCCCGCAGATCCACCTCCCCGAGGAGGGGAGGAAGAGGTCACCAGGAACAATCTCCTCGCAGACAAGAAGAAAAAGAGGCCAAACAGGCCCTTGGCAGGAGCAAGATTTTGTACTTTCTATCAACTATACGGGCATGACATCAGCGAGTGTCGGGATGCCAATCGACGCCCTGATCGAAGCAACCCCCACACTTCCAGCAGAATTGAGCACCCCCGCAGATCCACCTCCCCGAGGAGGGGAGGAAGAGGTCACCAGGAACAATCTCCTCGCAGAAGAAAATCGAGAAACCAAGGCCAATCCAGGCAAGAGAACCAAGCCCAATTCGCTGGAAGCCAAGCCATCAGGGAGATCGATACCATCATTGGGGGACCCCACGTCGGTGGCAACACCAGGAATGCCCAGAGAAATTATACAAGAGAAGCTAAGGATCCCCCGATGATCACCTACATTGTCGACGAATTGAAATCAGCAAACAAGATGGCCCCAATCACCTTCTCCCAGGAAGACTCAGAGGGAGTTCACCATCCCCATTGCGACGCTTTGGTTGTAAGAGTCGTAGTGGCTAGAAACGGATTGAAACGCATGCTCGTTGACAATGGCAGTTCCGTGAACATATTGTTCGGCTCCACTTTTGACAAAATGCAAATTGAACATGGGTTAATCCCCATGACCGACCCACTATTCGGATTCACTGGGGACAGCATCATCCCACGAGGGCGGATCACCCTGCCTGTGGAAATGGGTTCGGCCCCCCTGGTCGCCCAGCATTTCATGGAATTTCTGGTGGTAGATCATAGGTCGGCTTATCATGGAGTATTGGGCAGACCCGCTCTAAAAGATCTTTGGGCTGTGACGTCCATTCACTATCTGTGCATGAAATTCCCAACTGAACATGGGATTCCAACAGTCCGGGGCGATCAGATGGGCTCCAGGGCATGCTACCTAAACTTGCTGCGTAAATCTGAGCCCCGAACCGTCAATGTAATCCTAGCCGAAGTACCCGCTAAAGCCGGTACGGATGTGGAAATGCTCGACGCTCCTGAACAAGGGCATACCTCTGAACAAGAGGAAGATGTCATCATGGAAGAGGCCCCTGAACAAGGACACCCTCTTGATGAGTTGGACCCCCGAATAATCGATTATGAACCAAATGTGACCCCCATGGAAGAACTGGAGACTTTCCCAGTCAATCCAGAAGACCCAAATCAAGTCTTGCGCATAGGGAAGTCATTATCGCCTGAAGAAAAAATTGAGATGATACGATTCCTGAAAGAAAACCTGGATGTCTTCGCATGGAAACATGAAGATATGGTGGGAATAGATCCTAGGATCAGTTGCCATCACCTTAACATCAACCCCTCCTATGCCCCCCATAGACAGAAGAGGCGTGCCCTGAACCCAGAACGGTACGAGGCGCTGAAAGACGAAGTAAGTAAACTTAGCCGCAGTGGTTTCATCAGAGAGGCCATATATCCGAGGTGGATATCCAACCCGGTTCTGGTGAAAAAGTCCAACGGGAAGTGGAGGGTCTGTGTGGACTTCACAAACCTGAATAAGGCGTGTTCCAAGGACAGCTTCCCACTTCCAAGAATTCATCAACTGGCGGACTCCACTGCTGGGCATGAACTACTGAGTTTCATGGATGCGTACTCAGGGTACAACCAGATACCCATGTTCCGACCTGATGAGGAAGCTACATCATTCATTACGGACAGGGGGCTGTATTGCTACAAAGTTATGCCCTTCGGATTGAAAAATTGCCGGGCCCACATACCAGAGGTTAGTCAACATGATGTTTGTCGAACTCATTGGCAAAACCATGGAGGTCTACGTGGACGACATGTTGGTCAAAAGCCTCCAGGCAGCCGAACACGTGAGTCACATTGACCAAACCTTCCAGATACTCAGGAAGTATAACATGAAGCTGAACCCCCTCAAGTGCACTTTCGGAGTGGCATCAGGCCAGTTCTTGGGATACATTGTGAATCAGAGAGGAATTGAGGCAAATCCGGCAAAGGTAGCCGCCTTACTAGAAGTGAGGTCACCTCAGAAATCGAAGGAGGTCCTAAGTCTCAATGGCCGGATAGCCACACTCAACCGCTTCATCTCTAGAGCCACTGATAAAAGCTTACCTTTCTTCAATGTATTGAAGCAAGGAAAGAGATTCCAATGGACTTCGGAGTGCCAAGAAGCCTTCGAGTCTTTGAAGAAACACCTCGGGAAAGCACCCCTCCTGTCAAAACCCCAGCCAGATGAATCTCTGTTGCTGTACCTAGCAGTTTCAGATGTGACAGTCAGCGCGGTCCTAACCAGGGAAGAAAATGAGCGTCAATTGCCGGTGTATTACATCAGCAAAGCACTTCTCCCAGCTGAAACACGCTACTCCGACATGGAAAAACTGGCACTCGCACTTATCACAGCCTCAAGAAAGCTGAGGCCATATTTCCAAGCCCACTCAATACAAGTCCTCACCAATTTCCCTTTAAGGCAAGTGATGCAGAAAACGGACGCGTCGGGACGCCTGCTGAAATGGGCTATCGAGCTCAGCGAATTAGATCTCACGTTCTGACCTAGACAAGCTATCAAGGGCCAGGCCCTTGCCAATTTTATGGTCGAGTTTACCAAAGCCCCAGAAATGGAGGCCATAATGGAACCGATCGAGCCCCCCACATGGAAATTGTTTGTAGATGGGTCTTCAGGAGAGGTTGGCGCGAGGGCAGGAATCGTGTTGGAGAGCCCGGAAGGCCATTTGCTAAATTGTGCGGTAAGATTCGGCTTCAGAGCCTCGAACAACGCGGTCGAATATGAGGCCCTTCTGGCAGGTCTAAAGCTCGCTAAGGAAATGCAGGTCAGGAAGCTCCTAGCAAGCAGCGATTCTCAGCTTGTAGTAAATCAGGTAAACGGGGATTTCGCAGCCAAAGATGGTAACATGCTTGCGTACTTGAAGTTGGTTCTGGACATAATTCTCCATTTCGAAAGGTTCACTTAAGTCCCCCGTCTAGAAAATGCCCATGCAGATGCCCTCTCAAAGTTAGCCAGCAGCATGAACTCAGAGCTTCTAAACATCGTCCCCATTGAGCACTTATCAAAGCCCTCCACCTTCGAAGGCGAAGAGTTACTGTGGATAGAAGGCACCCCATTGTGGATGCAGCCCATAATCGCGTATCTAAAGGAACAAACACTGCCTGCTTCCAGAGACGAAGCAAGAAAATTAAGAAGAAGGGCTGCACACTTCTTCCTTCAAGAAGACACCCTTTACAAGAGAGGCTTCGCATCGCCCCTTCTTCGATGTGTGGGCGGCGAAGAGGCCACATACATACTCAGAGAGATACATGAAGGGATCTGCGAAAATCACTCCGAAGGGACGGCTCTGGCACACAAGGTTCTCCGTCAAGGCTACTTCTGGCCAACCCTGAAAAGGGATGCTTGCCAATTTGTCCAGAAATATGACAAGTGCCAGCGCTTCTCTAACGTGTAAAGACAGCCTGCTCAGAGCCTCTCTGTAGTAACCAGCCCTTGGCCATTCGCCAAGTGGGGCATCGACTTCATTGGTCCACTCCCAAAAGGGAGGGGAAGCGCAACTTTCGCCATTGTCGCCATCAACTACTTCACTAAGTGGGTCGAGGCAGAACCCCTTGCCCGAATCACTGAGGCCAATACTATGAAGTTCGTTTGGAAAAACGTCATTTGTAGATTTGGCATCCCCCACTCCATTGTCTCTGATAATGGGCGGCAGTTCGACAATAAGAGGATGCGAGACTTATGCGACGAACTGGGCATAAAGAAGGACTTCTCGACTCCGCATCACCCCCAGGCAAATGGACAGGTTGAAGCAGTGAACAAGATTATCAAGCACACCCTGAAAAGGAAATTGGATGCCTCGAAAGGCGCCTGGGTTGACAAACTCCCCCACGTCCTCTGGGCCATCAGAACGACTTGTCGGACTGCAACCGGCGAATCCCCAATTTTCATAACCTACGTAGCCGAAGCAATGAGTCCGGTCGAAGTTGGGTTCCCATCACATTGACGAATACATTTCAATGAGATCAGCAACGACGAGACACGAATAAGTGAATTGCACCTCCTTGAGGAAAAGAGAGAGACTTCCCAAGTGACCTTGGCAAAATATCATCGCAAGATGACCCGCTTTTACAACTCCAAGGTCAGGAACAGAACTCTCCGCTTGGGCGACCTCGTCCTCAAAAGAGTTTTTCAATCTTCAAAACCAACCGGGTCAGCAGTTTTCGGCCAAAAATGGGAAGGCCCTTACCACATTCGAGGGAAATCTCGACCTGGTACCTACGAGATCGAAGATATGTCGGGAAGGATGCTACCTCAGAAGTGGAACATCGAGCACTTGAGAAAATACTACCAGTGATAAGACTGTTCCGATCTGATCCTAAGGTGTCATAGCGAATCGGTTGTTCCGATCTGATCTCGGTTGTAAAGTTTCTTAAGTGATGGAATCGCCTTTGTAAAGGATGGTGTAATTTATCTTAGTAATGAATTTCCAGTTCCAAACCAGATCAGCTAGGGAATAGCTTCCTCAGTTCTTCGGAAGGTTTATTTGAGCGGTCCAATCGTCAATTATTAGCTGATTACCAAGCGGTTCCTCATGTTTCCCCGATTGGTCTGACCTCAGATTATTAAGAAGTTGAAGTTAGGAATCACTTCCTGCTCACTTAAGTGTTTGGACTTATGTTTGCTTAAGCAGACCGGTTCACAATTGTTAACTGATCGTTGTCACGAGGCAATTAGTCTAATGTTTGTCATTCATACAAGTATAAAACAAAAGGATTACAAAGAAGCAGAAGCCAAAAGACTTAACAGAAATTTAACAAAAAATTTTCATTCCATTTCACAAAATTAAAGTACATTGGGGGCCGAAGCCATTACAAGATAAAAAGGAAACCCTAATCTGTGGGAGGAATTTCAGCACTAGCCGCCTCCTGGGCCTCTGGAGCCTCCTCAGTAACCTTAGCAGGCCGACCTCCAGTTGGTCCCTCAAACTCTGCCTCCAGTTGAGAGATGTCCAGAGTAGAATGTACCTCCTTCAGGCGACCCAGTAGGCTTTAGGCACTCCACGAGGCCCAGAAGTTGGCAAAGTCGTCGTAAAGGAGATGGTCTTCGAAGTGATCAATAAAATTCTGGACCGTCACTTCCCCCGCAGACTTCAATTCCTCCTTCAAAGAGGCGATCTCCTCTGACTGGGCCTCTGTCTGCTGCTTCAGCTCTGCCTTTTCTCTGTTAGAGGCCTCCAGAGCATCGGTGGCGAGCTTGTGGTGCTCGTTAGCGTGGTCAAGTCGCCGAGTCACAGCAGCCACTTGGCACTCCACTTCGTAGAGCTCTTTCTTCAGCCGCTCCACCTCTGCTTGCGCAGCAGTAAGTTGGACCTCAGCAGATCTCTTCCCCTCCTCTGCCTTGGTGGCTTTGGCCTGGGCAGCTCGCACAGCATCCCCATAATGCATCACCTCCTCGAGGCGCTTGGCGAGGTCCTCCCTCTTGGAGTTTAGATCCTTCACCAAGCCTCGAGCTGGATGCTTGTGCTTAGTGCTCGGGCCACGCAGGCGCTGTTCGCCACCACCAAGTCTTCGGCCGTGCAGGAGGCGGTATGGTCCCTCCACTCTTCGGTCCAATATTTGCTGTGGACCACCACCACCGCAGCTGTCTCTGGAGGAAGAGCCTCCAACACCTCCCTTACGGGCTCCTCTTGATTGGTGCCCAGGAAATCAACCTCTTTAGTGGAGCGGGCCATTTTTCTCCTCTGCTGCCCCGGAACTTGTTCAATGGGTACGGCCGCAAGGGGTGCTGTGTCCAGGGCAGCGACAGGCTCTGCTGAAGCGGGGCTTCTCTCCGGGAGGGCCACCCCCGTGGGAATAGTTGTCTGCCTCAAAACTGGGGGTGGCCTTGCCACAGTTGGGAGTTTGGGAGGGGCAGCACTCTTCTTGCCCTTCCTTCGGAGGTCAGCCTCCGGGTCCTCCTGAACCTCCTCCTCCGTCGGAGGCTGGAGTCTCTTACTGGCCTCCACCAGCTCCTCCATTTGCTTCTTATACGAAGCGGAGGAGGCCTTCAGCGCCCGTGCCTCAGCCATCATTTTCTGGATGGTCTTGAAGTCGGGCCGTACTGGCAGCTTCTTGCTGAAGTTATCTGCAAAGAAACAAATAAGGAATTAGTACAAGTCTAGGGAGTTCGGAATAAAAAAGTATGGGTTTCGGTCCTATTACCTTGAAACGCCATTAAGTCGTGAGTGATGAAATGGATGTTCTTCCGGATCAGCCTGTGGTAGGACCTCTTCTTCTGAGGCAGCTAATAAATGACACAGATAGTGTCCAAGTCCTCTGTTGATAGCTCGCACCGAGGAAGAGAACCTACGAAAGGAAACATAACTGTTAGACACAAGCCGGACCGAAGATAAAATTAAAGGAAACTACCGTACTCACTAAGTGTTGAAAACTTCGCCGGGACTGTAAGAGGCGCCAGGGGGTCCCCCTCCATTGTGTCCCATCACCCCGCTGCCCAGCACCATGAGCTCTTCCATTCCTTGATGGAGCTCGACAGATCGATCTCGAATGGAGTGTGGGAACCCCATGACGTCAAGTAGTACCAACCCAGGGTCTTATCCCCCCCGGCAGTAACCTTGGTAATATAGAGGGTCTGGAAAATGGAAAGGGGCATCTCCACCCCTAATGACACCTCTTTCCACAACATCCAGGAGCCCACCATCTGGCTCCAGGAGTTTGGATTGAGCTGCGTCGGGGCTAACCCATAAGACCTAAGCACCAACCTAAAGAATGGGTGGATAGGCAGCCTAAATCCGGCCCTAAGGATCGCCTCACTAATGGCCACACAGCCCGGCCTTGGGTAACAGGCTCTCTCTTCCGGCCCGAGGAGGATCGAGTCTACACTGTCTGGGATCCTATATTCTGTCCTAAGTCTACCCAGGTTGGCCTCCCTTAATTTTGATGGGTAGTCCGATGCCCCCCAATGCATAGAAGTATCTTGGGGGCTATCTGGTTATTTCCATATGTTCCCCCCCCCATTGTTGCTCCAGCTATTTTTGAGGAGGTCGCCACAATGGGCTCGTCCACCCTCACTATCTCTAAGCCCCTCCCCAAACCAGAACTCCCTTCCGAGGCCATTCGTTAAGAAATTTTTTAAAGTCCAAATGGGTGCTAAAACTTACGGGTTTGGAATTTTTTCCTAACCGGAAATGGTGTAGGATCGCCGGAAGTATCGTTCTTTCTCGCCGGAGTTGCTTGCAAAACGTCGAAAATCGCCGAAAATTTGAGAGCAAATTATGATTTTAATCTTGCAAAGGTAGAAAGTCTGAGAAAACCCCAGAGTCCTCCTTTTATAGGAAAAACAAGTCCAATCTCCACCGTTAAATTCAAATGTGATCAATCTAAGCCGTTCGTCGCATCCTCAATCTGGACTGTTGAAATGAAATGCAAGATTTGATCTACGCCCAAGATGTCGCTGTGACCTTCACACTAAATTGAAACGCGTCACCTCAGTTACAACCAGCCGTCAATAATAATTACTAGCCGCAGCAGCCTTTTAGGAGAACGGGCATGGCACCCAACTGTCACCTTGGAAACACACAACAGTTGTCAAATCATTGGACGTTTGGGTCGCCTCGGATGAGCTCCTCCTCCAACTTTACAAAGCTTGGACGCACCTGACGCGAACGCCCCATTGGGTCATCGCCTCGGACGCTGCGTTTCCTCCCATGCTTTACAAAGTTTCAGCCATCTCCCCACGCGTCAACCTTTTCCTGTCAACGCATCGGTGCGAGATGAGTTCCTCCTCCAACTTTATAAAGCTTGGACGCACCTGACGCGAACGCCTCATTGGGTCATCGCCTCGGATGCTGCGTTTCCTCCCATGCTTTACAAAGTTTCAGCCATCTCCCCACGCGTCGACCTTTTCCTGTCAACGCATCGGTGCGAGATGAGTTCCTCCTCCAACTTTACAAAGTTTGGACGTACCTGACGCGAACGCCCCATTGAGTCATCGCCTCGGACGCTACGTTTCCTCCCATGCTTTACAAAGTTTCAGCCATCTCCCCACGCGTCGACCTTTTCCTGTCAACGCATCGGTGCGAGATGAGTTCCTCCTCCAACTTTACAAAGCTTGGACGCACCTGACGCGAACGCCCCATTGGGTCATCGCCTCGGACGCTGCGTTTCCTCCCATGCTTTACAAAGTTTCAGCTATCCCCACGCGTCGACCTATTTTGTCAGTGCATCGACGGCAGATGAGCTCTTTCTCCAACTTCACAAAGCTGGGACGCGCCTGACGCGAATGCCCCGCATCTGCCTATTATCCTAACCTCGGTTGCTGTGACGAATCGACCCCATGACTCGCGGCCCGATCAGGAAAACAAATCCGCGCATAATATAAATATTCATCCCCGGATTTGGGGGACCACTGTTACGCCTCGATACCGAAGTGCCATCTCACCACCTACTCCGACCTGAAAATGACCCTCCCGAAGCTTCTCCAAAGTGATATATCGATTCCTACTACTGATCTGCCGAAGCATCTCACCTCCGAGGTCTAGATCAAGTAGACCCTGGTTAGAAGATCCGTCGCCAATTTAAGATTTGTTCTGCACCTAAGGTTTAAATTGATTTGACGTCCCCATGAGGCTATTTGATGTGACTTATCAACTTTATGTCAATTCAACTCGGGGGAAACAAACTGTCCGCCCATTCTACAAGCGCGGCTGATTGACCCCTATGAGCAGACACTTCATACCGTCAGATGTATACACGCGTTCTACATCCCGCGGTTCATACCACCTATAAATACCCAAGGTTTGGCAAGAGGCAAAGGTAATGAAACTCTCAATACATAGCATTCCATAACAAGTTTATATATCCTCCTCCCCCCTTTATTAATTGATTTGTGTAGCCCCTGGGTACTGTTCCTACCACCCAAACCTGACTTGACCGTCGGAGTGTATACGGCCGCCGCTACCCCCGTCGGTTCCGGCCGTGTGCGCCTGACCGTTTGTTTATTTCG